GGCATGACTCAATTTAGCTTGTTTAACAATGTTAGGCAGGGTAGCTGCAGGAAGCAGAGAGGTGCAATCTTTACTGTCTCCTGCAGCTCCTTCATCACATGCTGCTGATGCCAGTGCATCAGCTCGTGCATTCCCTTCTGCCATAAATCCTGGGAGACCAGAGTGAGCTCTAATGTGAGCAACAAAGTAAGGATTAGTCCTGTGTACAAAATTTGATAAAGACAGGTAAGCCAAAGACACAAGTTGTCATTGTTAACATCTTTTAAAACAGACCCTTCAATTCTCTTAACAATGTTAGCAGCATATGCAGAATCAGTGACTAAGTTAAAAGGTTCTGGGAAGAGTTGAAATGCTCTTACAACTGCTGCCAATTCAACAATCTGAGGAGAACCTTTGACCTTTTGAATGTCTTGTCCTCGGGATTTAGTGTTTTTATTTTGCCAGGTAACTTACTGCCTTGTGTGTTTGTCCTGACCCATCAGTGAAGAGAGTAACTGCATCCAAAGGTTCTTCACTGATAACGGGTTTCTCTTTGTAGCATAATTTAGCTTTGATCAGTTTGTGTGCTGGATAATGAAGAGAGCAAACACCTGGAAAATCTAACAAGGCATACAGTAAATCTTCTGAATTTTGCATGGCCCAGTCAAAATAGGATTTAATCATAGGTAAATAGATGATTTTGAATTCACAACCTGCTATGGCAAGAAGCCTTGCCCTGCCCTTAATGACAATTTGAGAAATCATCTCAATCATCTCTGAAGATTGTCTTTGGTGCCCTGTAAGAAAGAAAAACCCATTCAATTATTAACAAAGGATCATTTTGAGAGGAGTCCCACTGGAAGATGAGGCCATGCAGTCTCAGCGTTTCTCCTAGAACTGCAAGGAAAAAAGGTTTATCTGGAACATAACAATGTGCTTGTCTATTTTGCAGAGCATCAGTAATTTTCTCCAAAGCCTTGCTAGCTTCAGGAGTAGGAGATCTGGGGGATGATTTTTTGGCTCTTTCAGTGTTTTTTGTTGCCGCTGGAGACCTGCCCAGCAATGAGATGCAGGTCCTGCTGGTTTAACGGAGTCAACTTCTGATTTCCGTGCACCTTGGCCACGGAGCCCACGCCGGCCCCGCCATGCAGGTTGGAGCCGCGCGGGGCTGGAGCCAGGGCCGGGCCCGGGGCTGCGGGAGCCGGCGGTGCCAGCGGGCCGGGCACGGGGCAGGCTGGGACGGCGGCGCCTGTCCCCAGCGCAGGCACAAGTGCAGCAGGATGCAGGATTCCGGATCCGGCTCTGGGCTGGAGCAGCAGCAGTTTCTGTTCTCTTCCCCCCCTTTCTTCTTCCCCCCTCTCTGGCGGCTGGAGAGGCCGAGGCTGTGGCTGCCGGGTTCAGGTGCAATGGGAGCGGGCGAGGGGTGCGGGGGATTCGCGACAAAGATTTCCACAAGGACTTGGCAAGCGGGAAGAAATTCCGCTGCTGTTTTGTCACGCCGAGAGATGGCATTATACAATTTAACCCCCAGAGAGTCCCAAAGGTCTCTGGTATAGATGGCTTCAGAGTCAGCATTTGGGATATGAGTTATAGTCCATTTTAAAAGCTTTTTGAGCTCTTGCTTCGGCAAGGTTTTTGGACTTGATGCCATTAAAGATTTTAAATGCTGATACACATCTCTCCATGGAACAGACTTATTCTGCCCCATTATTCCCGGTGCTCACTTGCTGTCCAGCTATGCAGCAGGTGCTGTATATAGAGGCTCCGATCCAGGGACTATCCAGCAGCAACTCCTGTCTGGGCCCCGGTCACCCTCATTCCAGGTGCCCGATCCTTGTGGCCGCTTCCTGCTGAGTTCACCGGGAGGTCTCTTACTGCCAATAAGTCTGAGTTTGCCAACTAAAACGTGGGTGCCACTGTAAGAGCCTAAATGAGAGATGGGGGACTCCAGGCAGCTCTTCAAAATGCAGTTTATTGTATCCAAGATGTTACAGCAGCCCAGGGTCATGGGTGACAGAGCCTGTGCCTACAGCTGTCAGCTCCAGCTGCAGACAAGCCTGGAGGCCCTTTAGCTTTGGTTACAGTGCTCTTCAGAGTATTATATACTCTTCTTTGCTGAGCATCTCAACATAGAAGAACCAATCTATACCTTTACTTTTACCTATAGCCTATCATAACTCCTGTAATTACCATATTCATGTTACTATTCTCCAATCACTAGAAGTTAGTACATTACAGTTTAAGCGAGAAGTTGTTTTTCAGTTTTCTTGCAGTGGAAAACTGAGATCTTTTTTCTACTTGCAACTTTGCTGACTTGTTTGCCTGTGGAATCTTTCTGCTTGGTAAAACCATCTTCTTGTTTGAGGTGGGTTTATCCTTTGCTCTAAGCCATAAAAACCCCTTCTAACTAACATACCCTTTGCCTCCCTGGTTAGCCAGTAAGACTGGCTCAGCCATTCTTTTCTTCTAGATCAAAACTTACTTCCATCTCTATTCCTTCAGAAGACTCTACATTTAAAAATCTTTCTGCAAAGCATACATATCTGTGAGACTTTCTTGTCAAACTTTCATCCTTCCCAAAACCATCCCAGCATCATACCAGTATAATATCAATAGAAACCTAGAACTGTCCCAGTCACTCCCAGTATGATCCCAGCGTGACGTCAGTACAAACTCTGTACAATCCCAGTATGATCCCAGTCTGATATCATTATAAACTCTGTACAGTCCCAGTATGATACCAGTACGATCCCAGTATGATGTCAGTACAAAGCCAGTACAGTCCCAGTCACTCCCAGTATGATCCCAGTATGATGTCAGTACAAAGCCAGTACAGCCCCAGTCAGTCCCAGTACGATCCCAGTGCAGCCCAGTCCCTGGCAGTGCTGCCACTGCTGGGATCCCCCAGGCCTGTGTGCGTTCCCCCCTGGCGGATGTGCCGAGAGGAGCCCCAAGGGCTGGCAGGGGCCAGGCAGGGTCCCCAGCAAGGCCCAGTTTGGATGTGCAGCCCCCAGTTTGCCCAGTTTGCCTCTCCTTTGGCCCGGGCCAGGTTCCCCCTGCCTGCAGCGGCTGGGAGCAGCCGAGAGCCCCGCGCTGCCCATGCCGACCTGTCCCGGCTCCATGGCCGCTGCTGCCGCGGGCTGCGAGGGCTGCGGGAACGGGGCACCGAGGGTGTGGCTGCTGCTGGGGGAGGAGGAGGAGGGAGGGAAGGGCAGGGATGAAGGGGGAGGAGGAGGTGGGGTAAGGGGGAAGGAGCAGGGGGAGGAATGGAAGGGAAGGGATGGAAGAGAAGAAGAAGGTGAGGATAAGACAGGAGGAGAAGGAGGGGGGATGGAAGAGAAGAAGAGGGAGGAGAAAGAGGAGTGAAGAAGGTGGGGTTAGGAGGGAGGAGGAGAGGGAGGAGGGATGGAGGAATAGAAGGAGGTGGAGATAACACAGAGGAGGGGGAGGGGGGATGGAAGAGGAGGAGCGGGAGGAAGAGGAAGAGGAGGCACAAAGGCGGATCAAGGCTGAGCTGAGGGAACCATGCGGTCGAGCCCTGCCGTAATTCGCAGCCCCCACCTGTGGGAATCATCGCCCCCCCGCCCCCCCCCCCCCCCCCCCCCCCATCGTGCAGGCAAGCGGGGAGCGCGGCCCGGATATCCCGGGGGGTCCCTGGGTTGGGTTTTTGGGGGGATGTTTGGAGAATGAAGAAGTCCAAGGCTGAGCGGAAAAGGCCCCTCGGGGGGACATCGGGGGGTGGCGGTGGCGGCTGCCGGCAGAGGCAGCCTGGAGGAGCAGAGCCCTGTGTGCCCCAGGAGGCCAAAGTGGGGAGGCCAGAGAGGGGGGAGCGCCGCCATTGGCGGGAGCCTCAAGAGCCTGGAGAGGGGCAGGGGGGACTCCTTGGAGCCGCTGCAGCGCAGAGCAGAGAATGAGGGGAGAAGGGAGCCCGGGAGCCCAAAAGGCCCCGGCATCCCGAAATGGGGAGAGGGAAGAGGGGGGAGCTTTTGGCATTGCTGGCACTGCCAGCAGCCTGGGCAGGGTGGGCACCCAGGAGAAGGGGGACCCCCAATCCAAGTGTGGCCCTTGCAGTTTGGACAGGGGGGAACCCCTGAACACCGGAGGGGAGAGACCAGGGACGGGGAACTCCTGGGAGGGTTTTTCAGGTCTGAACCTTGGTATTTGGGAGGTTTTCTGGAGCCCAGATGGCCGGTGACTTGTAGAGATGGACTTGGGCAGAGGGACTTCAAACTCAGCGTGTGTTAGGAAAGATGAAACAGGAAAGCCTCATAAATATGATTGTCTGGCAAAAGATTTTGGGACTATAGAAGGTATAAGCAAGACTGAAATGAAAGGAAGCTTTGAGATACCTTAGTTACTGAACAACTGGAAAGCAATGGTGTGGCCCAACTGAAGGTAATCCCCTTCTGATTAAACAATTCCCTCTGCTTGCAGACAGGTCCAAGGGTCAGAGCAGACCCTACTAGCTCAGCAGAAGGGGTCCAAACTAGAGTTTTTAGGGTTTGAAATGTAACACAGTATGGTGATGTAACGATTCTTACAGTCTGTATGTAAATGCTATAGGATTTGTATCTTGTACTGGACTGGTTAGTGAGAAATAGAATATTTAACACAGAAGATTTATTGTATTGTAACGGGAACCTTACTCTCTTATGCTCTTACCCTCTCATCCTCTCTCCCCCTCTCTTCTCTTGGGCCTGCTCCAAGCTGTGGCTGGCAGCTCCAAGCAGGGCCCTACACCCAGGCCCTTTGCAATAAACCACAAGTTCCATGACCTGGCTGCAGAGATCTCTTGTCTCTGTCTGTCCAAACCATCCCACCCCCCAGCACTCCTACAAACGTGCTCACCCCTTGTTTTCCCCAAACCAGGATTTCCCATTCCCAACCCTTGGGAGGCTGCAAGGAAGAGTAAGACACCCCCGGACACTGAGGCAGGTGAGGAGGAAGTCAGTGCCCCTTTCCCCTCTGTGCTGCTCCATCTCCCAGGCCAGCACAGCCCCTGGCTGCAGCATAGCCCTGGGGGGATCTCGTTGCCCTTGCCTGTGGCACGGAGGCAAATCCCATGCTGTCCTTGTCCTTCCTCGCCCAGAGCAGGAGCTGAGCATGGAGAGCAGGGAGGACAAATGCCCGCGGCAGAACCTGGTGGCAGAGGCCGTTTTGAGCGGCTCCACGGCGCAGGAAGCCAACGGGGAGGAAAAGCCCCGGAGATGCCGCACGAGGAGGGGCTGCAAACGCAGATGGCGGGGATGTGAGGGGGAAAGAGGCAGCCAGGGCCGGGAAGGCAGCCGGAGATGGAGCCAGAGCTCGGAGCTGGTGCTCCATGAGCAGCTTCATGATGGGGAGAAGCCCCACACGTGCGTGGAGTGTGGGAAGAGCTTCAGGTGGAACTCTGATCTGATCAAGCACCAGAGGACCAACACTGGGGAGAAGCCGTACGAGTCTGGGCAGTGTGGGAAGAGCTTCTCCAGCTGCTCTCACTTCACCCAACACCAAGGGAGGCACCGGTAAGGGAAGCCCTGCAAGTGCCCCGAGTGCGGGAAGAGCTTCGTGCGCTGCTCCAGCTCCATCCCCCACTGGAGGAGGCACTTTAAGCACAGCCCTGGTCACTCACATTCCCTGTGATCCATGTTGGGAACACACCTGGCAGCTTCTACTTTTGGTTTGGCCTTAATTTTTTTCTCTTCTCCATGTTTTTGCACTCCAAAAGCCAAGAGAAATCAATCTGTCTCCTCAAATCCCACTGAACACAGCTTAATCTTACCCCAAAAGGGCTCAATCCTACCTCAGAAAAATTCAGTGCCAGGCCAAACTCGCTCCATTCCATGGCTGCCAGGGTGAGATGGGGTTGGGAGGCGATTGGTAGAAGTGGGATCCCAATTTGGAGCAATGGGATGGGGATTGTGTGGGGCTGTCTGGGTAGGATATATTTGATAGCAAATAAAACTTTCAGAGTTACTGATTTCTGTCCCGTTCATTTTTGGTCAGTTCTGTTTGCAGAGTGGCACTTTCTCATCTGGTTAAATTCCCATAAAAGTCCCATTTTTTTTAATCATCTAGCCACTAACAATTCAAAAACCAATATCCAGATAAAGCCACGCACCCCCAATACATCTTTTAAAAATAATTTTCATTGTTTTAGAGTACCTAAGGATATTTTTTAAAGTTCAATTGTTTGGTTAAAATGTCTGAGAAATTATAGTGGTGTTTGCTTTTGTGTTTTGTATATTTGTAATATGAATTGTTTTACTAAGGTGTGTTAGATTGCATGTTAGTTTTTTTAGATATTTTTTTATCTAAAGTATATTAGTTATTGAGTTAAAACTTTCAAAAGGTATTTCTTGGTAGATAATTTGATTATTTATTGGTAATATTATAGTAATGTTGTTTTGGGTTGAATCATTATTGGAGTATTGTAAGTAAGAGTTGAAATTAATATATTTCATTTTCATTCTATTTATTGATTTTAATTATTATTTAGCTATTTATAATTTCATACTAATTTTTTAAGATGATAGGAAGGAAGTTCAAGGACAGGAACATTTTTTCCTGGCTGGGAACTGGAATTCCAGACCCTGTGAGTGTGTGCAGGACCACACAGACTGGGATCAAATATGGACTGGGATCAAATATGGGCTGGGATCAAATATGGGCTGGGATCACATGGACTGGGACTGCACAGAGTGTGACCATATGGATCAGGACCACACAGACCGGGATAAACTGGACTGGGTTCAAATATGGGCTGGGATCACCTGGACTGTGATCAACGGGACTGGGATCAAATATGGACTGGGATCACTTGGATGGGGATCACATGGATGGGGATCCTGTAGATCAGAACCCTCTGGACTGGGATAGCCTGGAGTGGGATCAAATATGGACTGGGACTGTATGGACTGTGATCCTATGAACTGGGACCACACAGACTGGGATAAACTGGACTGAGATTATATGGACTGGGATCCTAAGGACTAGGATCCCAGGGAGTGGGACCATATGGATCAGGACCACACAGACTGGGATCAACTGGACTGGGATCAAATATGAGCTGGGACCATTTGTTAAAGTAACTTTGTTCTATAGTTCTTATTTCTGTTGTTAATTAAGCTCAGTGAAATAGCTGCTTGTGTTAAACTGCCTGCTTGGGTGGGATAACATCCAATGCACCCAGGATGAGGACACCTGTACAGATCTGCCAACTATCAGCACTCCCCGTCTGAAGGCAGAGTGCACCAAGGCCCAAAAACTGGAGGTGATAAAGAGAAGGAGCCAAAACCACAGCCAAGAAACACACATGCTCTGAAAAGGCAGACCCAAGGAGGGGCCGTGTAAAATCATTCCTGGAATATGTAAAGTAGTTTATGGATATGCATGAGGCTCTATGAATATGCACCAGGCTGATGTAAGGGGAAAGGTATTTCAGGGGGATCCCTGAAGGTAACAGGGTGCTCCTGGCTGAGTGCTAAGATGCACCCGGCCATAATAACCTTTGCTCCATGGTCCTGGTCTCTCATTGTCCTTTATTAACCTGTTTACATTTTCACAGGCGAGTGAACGTGTTTTTCACAGGCAGCTTCACAGAAACCTGAAAACGTGGGGGTTCCCAGGAGGGGGCACCGCTGATCCAGGGCATGGAGGCGCTGCCTGCAATCGTCCATAACCGCCCATAAGGAGCCTCCAGGGCTTTACCCTCCATGAGCTGCAGCAGACCTGTCGGGAAAGTTGACACGAGCCTGTGGAATGTGAGGGTGCCGAGGGAAGATAAGCGATCAGTCAATATGATTGGTAAAGCAAGCTGTGGTTTATTTTCAATACACTGGTACTTTTATATTGTTTTCCAGTAATTATGCATACTTGTCATTAGTTTATTGGTTTAATTGCTCATACTTGTCGTGAGTTTATTGGTTTAAAACAAGAGATTACATTTACATATTCCTCCTACTTTGTGGTTATGCATATTTATGGTTTCTATTCTCGTCCCTGTCCTTGCCCTTTTGACCTTATCAGCAGGCAGGATACAGCATCTTCCTATCATGGTGTGTGGCTTGGTTATGCTAAGTACAGCTCACTTATGCTATGCTGCTAAGTTAACATGTATGCTAAGTTAATATGGGGTTTGCTTGTACAACATTTCTACAGATCCATGGCCCTTTTCCTCCAGCCATTCTTCCCCAATTCCCCCTTTTTCTTTTTGTACAATAAAGCCCTATCGGTTACTTGCGTTACATTTTTCATAATACAAGAATAGGCAATTCTAATAACTATTATGATCGCAAGCACTATTCCTAACCAGCGTAGTCCTTCTTTTATAAGGGATATGAACCAGGGAGATAAACCCCCAAAAATAGAAGACAGCCAACTATCAAATGGATTATCATTTACCATGAACTTCTGCATATGCTCTTTTAGCCATTGGAGCTGTTTATGGATTGAAACGCTATGGTCTGATAGATTGAAACAACACATCCCTTTGAAGTCTTTGCAACCGTGTCCTTGCGCTAGCAATAAAAAAATCTATGGCAGCCCTATTTTGTAACACTGCATGGCGTATGCTATCAACATCAGTAGTGAGTTCATCTAACGCTGTGGACGTGATGTTGACTTGTTTTCCTGTCCAACACGCTAGGCAACTCAATAGTGTGAGGGCCCATGCAGAGGCTACTCCTGGCACGAAAAGTGATGCCAATATAATTGATGGTGGTTCCCATAATTGTACATCATCTCTACATTCAGGGCCTAACTGATGTACGCTGCGTCTTGCACATTGGGGTTTGTGACTGATGTTAAGCATCTGGTGAATGCTAGGGGCAAATAATGTTAGTTTGCCGAAACAGTATGGTTTTCTCAGAGCCTTCTGAGGCACTGCAGGCTAGGCTCTCTCCCCGCAGATAAGGAAAAGCCCAGGAGGTAGCATTTTTGCTACAATGCCTTGTACAGTCGTTCTTGCAGATCCTTAATGTCTTCAAATTTTTCAAGATATAATTTCAGTCTTATTAGTTCTTTCCACTATAGCTTGTCCTGTGGGAGAGTGGGGAACTCCTGTGGAGTGTTGGATTCCCCATTTCTGGCAAAACTTTCTCATTCGTTCACTGCTGTAGGCTGGGCCATTGTCTGTCTTTATCTGCTTGGGAACGCCCATTACAGCAAAACAGCTGGTCAAACGACGGATTACATGAGAGGCCTTCTCTCCTGCTTGGGCAGTTGCCCACATGAACCGACTGTAGGTGTCCACTGTGACATGCACATATTTTAGCCTCCCAAACTCAGGGACATGTGTGACATCCATCTGCCAAATCTCATCCGTGCCTAAACCCCGAGGATTAACCCTGATGCTGGGGCCTGGTCCATGATGGCTGCAGGTAGGATATGCTCTTATTATCCCTCTGGCTTCTTCCATGGTGATGCTAAACTGTTTGTGCAGTCCTCGGGCATTCTGATGAAATGTGGCATGGGCCTCTCAAGCCTTTGCAAACTGACTCATTGGTACTGTCAACAAGACCAAGTGATGTGCACGAGCGTTGCCTTCGCCCAGTCCCTCTGTCCATTTGTGGCTCCTGATGTGCAATACTGCATATGCTTCCACTCTTTGGGCTATTGTGGCTTGCAATTGGCATAGCAGTTCAAAGAGCCGGAAATGTTGTATTTCTTTAATGCGAGCATCCTCAATTCTCTGAGCAATCCCAGCCACATATAGTGAATCTGTTACCATATTTATTGTGGGGCCACTACTTAAAGGCCCAAACCACTATGGATAATTCCAGTGTCTGTAAAGAGTCCCTTGCAGATAGTGGTATTGTTTTGAAGTCCTTCCACTCGCAGTGGGGCAAGGGCGGCAAAGGCTTGCTGTTGAGCTTGCACCAAATCTTTCCCTAACTCTTTTACTGCCTCCACTAATATAGCTTGTGGGCCTACTGGCACCCGACTCATCCTGTCTAGCATTTCTTGCACTGTAGCATCCCCTGGCAATGTAACTATAATGGCCCTTGTGGCAGCATTACAGTTTTCCATAACACACTGTCTTAGCAAGGCTCCTTTCATCCACTCCTGTACATCTGATCGATTGATGGCGTCTGTTATCTTATCCACAAACCTTGCAAAAGTCTCATCTCTTCCCTGTTTTATGGACATATATGAAGGTGTAGGCTGGGCAGTTTTTACCATGCCAATCGCTTGTCGAGCCAATCTCATTGAGTCCATCAATAGGTGTGGTCCTAATTGCACCTGCCTCTCAACTGTTGCGAACTGTCCTATCCCCATGAGTTGTTCTATTATAATGCCATACAGTGGATCATGTTGATCTCGCTGGATATGTCAGATGCATCACATAATCTATTCCAGCAAGCCTACCACAACATCAACTGTGATTGTGTCATAATCATTCTAATTATAGCTTTAATGTCTTTGGGACATAAGATTCCACTTCCCCAAATGTAATTTTTTTGGCTGGTTCACTATGTAGGCCAGATTCATTGACAGTATTCTGCAGTTGGGTTAACAATTTCCAATCA